TGTGTGTGTGTGTGTGTGTGTGTGTGTGTGTGTGTGTGTGTGTGTGTCTCAGGTGTTTGCTTTCGCCACCACGCTGCTCTACTTCATCCACGCCATCCTCTCCGCCATCCGGTGGAAGCATTTCTGAAAAGCGACTTACAGACCTGCCAGAGCTGCCCCCCTGCATCTGCTGGCCTCAATGTTTTTGCTCATGTCAGTGTGTGCGTGCGTGCGTGTGTGTGTGTCACATTTAACACTCCTTATACTCACATCAACACTCAGTGGCTTTTTCTCATTTATTTACAATGTCATCAGAAAAGCTGTCGAACCAACACGCATCACATGACCGGGCGCATACTGAAGCTGTAGTTTCTTATTTTGTTTGTTTTAACTATGTTTCATTAAGTAGGATGAGGGGGGAACCGGAGCCACAACATTTAGAGCAGGCACAAACAAAGCGATAGTAGGGAAAGAGCTTGTAATTCCATTATCCGAAAAGAAATTGTATTGTTCAACGACACGTCTTTGAGAGCCATCGATCACTGAAGAGATATTGAGTTTTTATCATTGTTTCACTGTCATTGTTATCTTAATTACCATGATTTCTATCATGATGCATGTATAATCATTGGAAAAGAAACGGAGGACAGAGGGAAGTCACAACTTCAAACTGAAGAAGCTATCATTGTCGTCAATATACTGTGTTACAGCAAACAACAAGGTTTGACAATAATATATTTTTTAGATTTATTGTAACTCATTGAGACCATTTCAGACTGCAGTTTTTAACCATATGTAATGGAAAATGAACTAGCCGTAACCCAAAAGCATGGAAAATAATCTACAGTTGTCTAGTTTTTAATTGGTTTTACAGGATATCAGTGTTTGACTCTAACAATCTGGATCTTTGACAGAAAAATCTAAAGGATTTTAGTCGGGCAAATCTCCACTATACTCATTAAGTATTCCACGTGTCTCAAAGGAGAGATAGAGATGTGCCTGTTTTTGGAATATGCTGACTTTATGTTTAGGACATGACTCTGTCTTAGAATGCCTGAGAACTCAGATTTCTTGCTTTTTTATTATCCCACTGCTGTAGGAAGAGCCAAAGAACAAAAAATAAATGAATAAAAAGTTAAAAACTCACTTTTGCTTGTTGGTATCTAAATTCAGACGTTTTACCTGAAATAGAAATTATTATAGTATTAATTTTCAAATAACATAAATTTTGGGTTGTGAACAAAGGATTTTTTTTCTTTTCTTTTTGACAATTTGGGTGAACTGAATTTAACATGTGTAAATTGACTGAATGATCTTTTCTTAATTTCCAACTTTATAAATGGATGGTAAATATTCTTTAATTGTTTTCTGATTTTGTAATTTGATCTCAAAAGTGTTTTTTTCACATTAAGAAATTATTTGTAGAAACATGATGAGAAAGGATAAAGTTTATGTTATTGTCTTCAGAGGTCTGTATGAAATTTGTGTAGCTTTAGCCTTTTCTTTATTTTTTACATTCTGTGAATTAAAAAATATGATTTTATATGCACTTGTTGGTGTCCTTTCATCTACTTCTTTTGAATTGACACATGGGTGGTACACGGACTAAAAAGGGCCTTGTACAACAATAGAAATCATAGTCTTTGATAATATAAACTAAAGACAGGAAAGTGGAGGAACTGGATCAGATTAACAAGAAGAGTAATTCCAATAAAAGCACATGACGGCCTGACAAAAGAATGAGGTGAGCCCATCTTCCCCGGGTAGAAAATGGTTAACAGGGAGCAAATTCTGACAACAGGATTAACCATGTGTACAGCATCTGAACCAAAATACCTTTATAGCTTATGTTTTCACGTCACTCTGGCCAGAATCATGTCATTTTTCATGGGCTCATGATGGACTCCAGGGTGTTGTGATGTGAGTGTGGTTAAACTGCTGAAAATGTTGAAAGTTACTTCCCTCCACACGCTTTCAAGTCTTATTAGTCTAACACAAAAAAGTGGCTCAACATCTACAGTGTTTATTTCAGGTTTTTAAAATCTGAAACCAAGCTGGGAGCACCACGGCGGGTTAGGGCTGCTGCTACGATCAGAAGTAATTCTTTATCTTTGAAAGAAGTGAGCAGGGTAAGAGGGTAAAGGGGACATTTCCACTTGTTGTAATGTTAGCAATGTAATTTTAGAGGAAAATCGGAGCGTAATTAGAACCAATTTTCTTATGCAACAGAAACTCGGCTGCGCTTATAAACCAATACCATATTCAACAGTATGTCTGTCTGTCTGTCTGTCTGTCTGTCTGTCTGTCTGTCTGTCTGTCTGT